TACGTCCGGTTCGGACGAACCGTTTAGCAGATTTGGAAGGCAGATTTGGAAATCAGCGTCTAGAGACGCATCAGGTGGTATACATCTCATTTTATACGGCCACTTCGACCTACCATCCTTTCCTTGTGAGATGTCAAATACCTAAATTGCTGTGTTGTGTTGACTTCGATGACACATCAATACGCTCGTTTCGTTGTTATGGAAGGCTCCGTAATTACTGTCCTCTGTGTTTTTCTCATTTTCGTTAATCTTTCTGGTGCGTTCAGGCGTTAACCAGGTGTCATGGCTGTCACATAGTCAAAATAGTGGACAGGTGGTGTGGCAGGATGTTTGAATATGCAACACACACACATTAAACGGTAATGGGGTGCGACTCCAACTCAAAATCGGCTTATGGATAATAACTGCGTGAATTGTTTGAAAGTGGGAGTAGTGTGGACAGTTAGGGGTGCATATGGGGATGGCTTATTGCAAAATTCAAGGGGGCGGCTCATTAATTTATAGCCAGGTACAGTAATTTTCTGTGAGCCGTATGAGTCAAACTATATAGCAAGGCGCTCTGTAACTTTGTAAGTACCGCTTGAAGGAGAATTCACTTAGTCGTCGATGCCATTGGGTTAATTATAGGTAGATTTCTGCGTCCTGGTTTTCATGCTTTTCGACCGTTTTTAATTTGGTGTTTTTTATTTTTCGACCTTCTATATGTCGTTTTTCGAAAAAAGGAAAACTGTTTCCATTCGTAAAAATCGTTGATCGATAAAAAACTGTAAGAGTGGAATGTTCATTTTGATTCAGTCATGTTTCGGCTTGATTTGAGATCGCAGTCCTTATGGTCTTGTAGGCGGTCTAGTCACCTTAAGGTGCAAGGCCCGTGAAATTTAAGCGTAGAGGTTTATCGTGTTATCTCCGTGATCTTACCGACTGCGAAAAGCTCCTGCTTGAAGGGTACGGGAAGTAATCGCTTCATCCCTTGAAGTTCATGCAAAGGGTGAGGTAAATGTAGACGACCATTTTTCAAAACGCTATGGAAATGTTAGAGCGAAAATGTTCATGAGTAGCTGCGCTCTATACCAAATTAGCAATTTCACTCCCTTTCATATAATCGCGTACCTGCTACGGGTTTTTCACGCGCAGTTTTGATACTCATAAGTTTTGTAACTGTTTTCTCGAATGGAAGTCGGACCAAGTGACTAAAGTGTGGCAGCATAAGTGAGACGTGTAGGGGATAATTCCGAAGTCTTAATTTTCGATCTTGAAGTCCATTATAAATTTCTCTTTTCTAATCGGCATTTCCCATGTTCCTAAGATCTTGCCGCTCTTGAAAAGGAAAAAGTCATGCGATTTTTTGGAGCGTTTCCTAAAGCTCACATTGATTTTGCTCAAAAATTCGAGCAATTATGTACTGCAGGCGAGAAACCATTCTCTCTGTGTCTAAGGTTTACAATTACCTGCTGAATCTTCTCGCTTCTTCATCATCATTCGCTGTTATGGCGAAATCGCCGAAGTCATGTCGCCTCAGTCGTGAGTGGCGCATACATGTTTTGTATACTAGCTTTTGTTTTCTGTTTTTCACTGGTACGCAGTCGCGTGGTTTGTTGTACGTGGAGCCGTAGGCCGAGCCTAAACATCGTGCATAATAAATCAGCAACAGTGGTATAAGATGGATGGAAGGATGCGAAAAGCACTATCGGTAGGGTCTAAAGGGACATTCTAGGTGGACTCTTAATATCGGTCACAGCGCACTAGAAAACCGCAAGACTTTTTCCTTAAAAGGGTCTCAGCTCTTTTTCCCTCAAGTTTTCTTCTTGGATGTGGTCTCCGGTCGGTTCCATGTTCAGCGCAACGGACCTGAAGAGCTGTATACAGAGCGAGTAGAATTAGATGTCTTGAGACTTTTGAATAGGTCCTGGGTGTGCCTTCGACCCGTTATCAAGTGAGTGATTCATGGTGAATTGTTGAAGGGAAACTTTACGATACCCATTGCTATGGGAACTGTGGAACTTCCAGCTCACTTAATAATTAGTGATTGCCCTGCTGGCTTGATAGTGCTAGCTGGTATGTTCAACAAGCTGCATGCAGGCGTTCTTGCATTAGCAATGGCACAACTCACACTGCAGTTGGTGCGATCATGTCCTCTTGGCTGATTGATTTATAGGGTCAGCAGCACTGAATCTGCCTTTTCATAGAATTCATCCACTTGCTCTCTGCGTTTTGTGATCCGAGAAAACGGCATGCGCAACACAATACGTGCAGCCTTTATAGAAACGCTGCTTCTTTGTTTCCAGGAAGCAGCGCTGCTCAATCAAAAAAATTTCCGATGCTTATCAAATTGCTCTCAATATTTTTGAGCATGAGAACTTTAGATATTGCGCCTGTTGGTGAATCAAAGATCGAAACCACGGGCCAGTGTTGATGGACTCCTAATGACACAGATGTGTTTGAAGAGCAATGTTGAAAAAAAAAACTAGCGCTATTCTGGCACTATGACTCACGATTGAGCTTTTCGCTGGAATTCCTACTCTGCTGGCAAAGTGTTGATTGCCTTTGGAAGATCTGTTTCATTTTTTCTTTTCAACTTTTGGACAAACTATAAGCTATCCTTTCACCCAAAATAGATGTTGACTGAGTGAGCTTGGATTTCGCTTATGATTGTTTATGATTTACAATTTAATAACCATCCGTCAGCGCTCATGTGTCGTGTGCTGGATGTGTGAGAAAATGTGTTTGAACGTCTCAATTCATTTCGGGAGAAATCGATCATCCGGCCGACATGCGAAACATCCGTGTGACGCAGGCGCGACAGGAATTCGTCGGGTGCAACGAATAGCGAAGGCAAAAACTGATGCCTCTTTGAACGGGTCAGTATCGACGAGATATGGCTCTATTAGATCGTGTGAAACTGGAAGGAAACTTCATTCTCGATGCAAAATTGAGCGTATTTTGGAAATTCATCTTTTCTTGAAGAGTTTCTTATGTGAAACAAGTGATGCCGTCGCGCAAATGTCCTCTCAATCCAAGGAGCTTGGCTTTTGCTAGTTTTAGATTCATTTGAGGGTCTCGAAAATAACATAAGGGTTATAGCGAGTGAAGAAAGTTGAGTTCATTTTGATTGAACAAGATAAAGTTGTGACCTTCAAATTGTCAACATAATAGTGGTGATTGCGGCTTCACGACGCCTAAGTGCCCAATTTGCAGAAAAGCCATGTCAGCTTGGTTTGCAACGGTTGCGCTGATCGCATCTTTCCTGTCTCTCACACGTCTCAATAATTTATGCAGACCAAGCGCCCGCATAAGAGGATGTTTCACAGGGGTTCGTCGGGAGACCCATGTGGCGGAAGTGGCACGTTGCAAATGGAAGTTGTTTCTCGCATGATTTGCCAGAAAGGTGATCGTGATCATTACCCTATCATATGATTAAGTGGGTCATGTAGCGGCTGTGCAGGAGCTTTCTGTTGGAAATCGTCAGAATAACATGGAAATCCTGCAGGATTCTTATATTTCACAGTTTGAATCCAAATTTATCGTGAAATTACTCATTCAGCGATTGTTTGTTAGCTGAACATCAAAAGTTTGCCTAGGTCCTGCTTTAAGAAGCGGATAAGGCTGTCGTTGGTTAAATTCCAATCGGTTTTTAGATTGGCTTCTGCTTTGTAATAAGATCGATAAACGCTTTCCCAAAATTATTCGACACCGCATTTGTCTTTTCTCCTGTATTTGACTTAGTTATGAAAAGGATTGCAAAAAGAGTTGTAGGAAAACATCTGCAACCGGATATTCTGCATTGCCGTAGTCGGCATCCTTTGACACCATTACTTGGGATGAAAGAGTTGCGTCGCGCTTGTCATGCGGGTATGATTTGTATAGTTGCGCAGTGAGTCTTTTGAAATGT